TCGGTACCCACGGCGCCAGCTCGGCGGCATCGCGCCTGATCGGGTCCATGTGCACTACATCCTGGCTCTCTCGGCTATCTCTCGGCTGTCTCTCCCTCGGCTGCCTCTCGACTGCCTCTCGTCTGTATCTCGCGCCGCAAAAAGTCAGTCGCGGCGGGGTTGCGGCGACCCCATCGCTCGGCGGAGCGCTGCGCCTCGGGCATGCGCCGGTACGCCTCCAGCGCCTCCCGCCGCCGCCGCGCCGCCTCCTCGCGCCTCGCGTCCTCGCGTTGCATCCTACCGACAAAACGGCGCAGGCAAACGCGTCCGTTGATCGGCCACGGGCAGACAGACGCCTCTGCCGGGCGCTGTGAGGCAGTGCTCGGCGGCGGTGCGAGGCGGTGTGCTGGCGCGGAGGGGGGAGGAGGAGGCGCGTCGTGGCGGGGCGGTGTAGTGAGCAGGCAGGGCGGGCGCTGCAGTTCCTGTACCTGGCGACCACCAGCTCGGCGCTGTCGCCCTCTGCAAGCTCACGGCGCATCCGAGCTAGCTCTTCGTCGCCCTCCTCTGCCGCCTCCTCCTCCGTCGCCGCCCCCGCCTCCTCTGACGACTCATCCGCCCTCCTCGCCTCCTCAGCCTTCTCCGACATGTCCTTCTCCTCTGCCACCGCCGCCACCGCCGCAGGCGCCCCTGCCTGCCCTGCCGCCGGTGCGCTCACGGTGTCCTTCCCGCCGTCGCCTATCGCCGCTTCGCCGCGAGGCGCCTCATGCGCCGCGCGATCCGCCTCGACGCGTGGAGGGTCCGCTGGTGTGGTTGGCGGCCGCAGCAGAGCGCCCACCTCGTCGCGGCCGCGGAGCCAGGCAAGCGGCCGCCAAGCGCACACGGCCGGGCTGGCGCGGGCCCGGACAGCAGCGCGGCGCAGGGAGGGTATTCGGCGAGCCGAGGGCGGGCCAGCTTCGCGCTGCCGCGCGTACTCCTTCCACGAGGTGCCGCTCGCGTCGCGCCTACGCGCAATGGAGCACAAGATCTGGCAAGCGGAGCCAGAGGGCCGGCGGAAGCGTTTTGACTGGAAACGCACGTGGCGTCCTGATCGACGAGCGCGACGCGCGAGGAGCGGGGTGCGACACGGGGCGCGCGAGGAGCATGCTGGACGAGCCCGGCGATGACGCACAGACCCGCCGCGAAGCGCAGCATCGCCGGCTGCGAGGCTTGCTCTCCACCGCCGCGCCCGAATTTTTTTTTACTTTTAGATCGGGGGCCCATGGACGTGACGCCCGGACGTGGCAGCCCGCTGGCTGTGTGTCTTGTGAGCTTGTTTGTGTCTGTGTGTCGCTCGTGCGTGTCGTCATCATCTGTCCAGCGTCCACCCGCATACCGCGTCGGTGTCCAGTCCGAGCCTGAGGGCCCAACTTGAGAATCGTGCTTTGAGTTGGGTTGTTTCGTGTTGGGTTGGGTTGTTGGCCCGGGTTGGGTTGTTCCGTGAGGTTGGGTCGTCGGCGCGAAGGGTGAGGTCTCGACCGCCGCCGCTCACGCCAGCGGACGGCCACTGCCGGTGTTTTTGGCTTCGCCACCGTCCAAGGCGTGCGCCATGCGCTCGCCGGCATCGAGCGAGCAACGTGATCGACCGAGCGGCTTGCTGTGTGGTCGCCTTCTTGTGGCTCTCGTCGAGAGCGTTTTGCGTCCCGGCGGGTGGGAGAATGTGTGTCGTTGATGTGTCACTGTGTGCGTCACATCGATGTGGATAACAAGCACGGTCGATCCGTCAAAGCGATACACTCGTTCCTATCACGCTGGAAGGCTTGCACGGAGCTCTGTGCCGGCACACAGAAGAGCCGCGTGCGGCAAGAAGAGCTCGATGGGCTGGGCGAGGGCCGCGGCGCGGCGTTGCGGGAGGCTTGGCCGGTGGAGGCGCTGCACACCGTGCCCGCAGCAAGGCGGGCGGCGGCGGGCGACGCGGACGAGCTGTTTGCGTACGCCCGTCCGCCCACGAGCAAGGCAAAGCGCGAGGCGGGCGAGCGGCGCGCCTTGCAGCACCAGGAGTGGGCTGACGCGCCCAAAGAGAAGAGGCAGAGGGCGGCGGAGGAGCGGGCAGCGGTGCAGGCGGCGCTGCTGGCGCCGCTCGCGGCGGCGGACACCACGGCGTCGCTGGGAGACTCGCGGATGCGGAGGCCGAGCGCCATCGTGGCGGCGGTGCTGCACATCAACCCATTGCGGCGCCGGCGGAGCGGGCGGCTTCAATGCTCGCGCCGCTCGGCCACAACCTGAGGATGCAATGCGGCGAGGTGCTGAAGCGGTGGCGCGAGTTCATGGGGGAGATGAACCGGTCTGACGAAGACGGCGGCGATGCGGTGATGCGCGCCAGCTGGGCGAACGGGATGCAGGACGGGTACCCGTGCCAGCAGCTCACTGTCATGTTTCTGCAGTATCTGCTGACGAGCCGCATCCGACAGTCGCTCGCGTCCATACATACGTGGACGGGAGCGAGCGCGGTGGAGGCGCTCAGGAGCAGCAAGACGAGCAGCAAGACAACGTGCGAGGCTCCCTTCAGGCGCTCCATCCCCGCTAAGATTTCCCGGGCCTCAGGTGGGCAATCGGGCTTTTTTTCTCAAACCACGTGCCTCTGGACCGCCGTTCTTGAAAAAGTGGGTGGCTGGGCAAACGCTTCGTAGGCCCCAGATCGTGGGTGGGTGGTGGTGGTGGTGGGGGGTGGGGGGGGGGATGAACGCATCGTAGGTCCCGGATGGTGGGTGGGTGGGTTGGGTGGGGTCACGCGGGCTGGTTTTCTCTTCTCCCTTCCTCGCGCACGTCTTCGAGGCACACCTCTCGTCATTGCCACAGCATGTCGTTCCTCGCACCGTACCCACGCGACGGCACCAGCTGACCGAGATCGCGCTCCCCGATGGCTGCCGCGTGCCTTACGGGCGGCTTACGGCGCGCTCAACAAGTCATCCGAGGGCGGACTGCTGTTACATCGACGAGTTGCGACGCCGCTCTAGCAGCTCGAGGGGTTCAAACGCGAGGCGACCATCGTCTCCGCCGAGCTCGACGACGAGGCGGCCGTTATTATCTCCTGCCCTCAAAGTGGCCAACGCCGCCATGGCTGTGTCTCAGCTGCATGAGGGCGCAGCTGCTCCATTCACGTCTCGCCTGCGCCTCCGCTGTTCCTCCTCGTCGGCACCCCAACTACATCTACATCTCGGCTTCGACGTCTCGGCTACATCTCGCCGCAGCGTGTGCAACGACGTCCCGTCCCAGTCGGGCTCAGGATCGCCACCACTAACAGCGTGACTGGCCGGGAGAAGAACGGCGGCACGGCGGCGGGTGGAGCTGAAGAAGCCACCGGGCCGCTTCCCGCGCCTGCATCGCTCTCGTGTCGCCCCGCGGAGGGCTTCAGCCAGCAGCCGCCGCGGAATCGAGTGATCCGGCCCAAGGGGCTGGTCGAGCGCGGCGCAGGCCTCCGCCTCACCGCACTGCAGCGCCTCCGCATGCGCCTCCTGCGCCGCGAGGAGGGAGCCGGGGCGCTTCCCGCCGCGCGTCCAGTGGCGCTCGCGCGCGCTCCGCAAGAACCAGTTGATCGTCAGCGAAGCCTCGCCAGCCCGCAGCGCCGCCACGTCGCCCGGCACGACGCCGACGGCGAGGTGCTGCGGCACCTCACCCCCAACGTCTGCGTTGCGGATCGGGCAAAGTGCTCCGAGTCCGCAGACTGCATCTGCCAGAGACTTGGGCAAGCCGCCAGTGGCGGCGGCGAGGGCGGCGAGGGCGGCGGCGAGGGCGGCGGCGAGGGCGACGAGGGCGACGAGTGCCGGCGTGAGCGAAATGCGCCGCGAAGAGAGGAGGCGGAAAGCGCCGGTCGGGGCGAACGGGTGAACGGGAGCAGCGCGAGCGCGAGCGCGTCGGACGGCGCCCAAAAGGTTGGCTCGAAGGCGCCGTCGTCGGGGCCCGCCTGTGCACAGCTGCCGCTGTGAAGCGACGCCGTTCACACCCCGCCACAGCCGCCGTCGGGCCCCGCCCAGAGGAAGGGGTAGTGCGATCTGCCGTCGGCGGCGCAGGTAGACGGTGACGTGGCTGGGGTAGTAGAGCCTACGTGCTGAATACGCCAAACTCAGGGCCGGAGGACGGTAATGTGCAGCGTATTCAGAGCACCGCGTGAATACAACGGAGGCGAATACAGTGCACAGCGGAATACGGCCGAGTACAGCGGAGCGCGTGCCCTCTCGAGCGCTGGTTGGAAAACAAGACTGCGTGTTCCGCTTCTAGGTAGTCGAAAGAGAGCAAGCCAAAACCAGTTTCTTTCTTTGCTCCCACTCACCTTTCTCTTGCCAATTAGAACTGAAAAAGAAACAGCCAAAAGAAAACGCGGTGCCAGTGCAGGACCCAGTTCCGGCGGACGCAGCGAGCGTCGGGACTCCGTCTCAGCAAACGAAGTCTTCCTCGTGGGCTCCACGGCCCGGATCGCGAGCTCGATCGATACGCGACACGCTCGGCCTCCGCTGGCGGCTGCCGCAAGAGCGGCTGGCTCACGACAGGGTACTAGAGCCGCGTTCTTCAAGCTTAAACCCCACTCTACACAACACAAAGACTCCGCTCTGCAACCTTCAGAGCGGACCTGAGCGGACTCTTGCTCAGAAAAACACCGACCGAACACGTTTGACGTTTGAGCGGAGTCAAGGCCACAAGGGCTGGCGCGCTAACACCCCCGGAGAAAGAGAACAGCGGCGGGACTATTCGCTTGCTTTTTCTTGACCCACTTGCGTCTTGCTTTGAGTGTTTGTCTTGCGCGCCTGCTTGTGGATGTTGATTCTTTAATTTTTTCTTGATAATCCAGTGTGGAGAGCGAGAGAGTGTTGTAGAGAGCAGTGTGGTACCCTTGTCAAACAAACTCTCTCTCCCTTGTCGGCCTGTGATGCTGTGGTGTGATGAGCCACTGAGTCAGCAAATGTGCTATGCTCAATTTGGCTCACCACCGAGCTAGTGTGTAGTGAATGCCATAAGCCCAAGAAATGCCCTGCCGTTTCTGCTATGGCCTATGCAAACGTTCGCAGAACGTTCGATGCTAACCTGCGACAGCGTCACATCAGACGATGTGGCTTCGATGAAGCTGCCTGTGATAGACCAGCGGATATCTACTGTTCACGCCAGCGAGAAAAATGCGGTCTGATGACGGCGCTGGCATCTCCAGCGGCGTCGCGACTTGGCTCTTGGGTAGCTCCAAATTCAGATGAAGCTTGAAGGCGCACTGATCACGCTGGTCGAGGTTAGCGGCTGCGAACGCCGACTAAGAACACGGGGCTTATTATTTTACACCGTGCACGCCTTCTCCGCGCATCGAGCCCCACCTTCAACCCACCCACACGCGCTCGGCTAGGTCGTTCCAGCTTCGAGACGCATCTCGCGGGTCACTCCCACGAAGCTGGGAACTAGCACGGGGCAGTCGACAGGGCTCAAGGCGTGATCGCCGTCTTTTTTGCCTGTGCTCGCTCTTGCGCGGAGGATTATGCTGCCCAATCTCTTGGCCAAATGCGGGCCCTTCTCTATGACGCTGTCGATGCCACGGACGGTGCGGATGTGCTGCATGCTCGTGGCGGACTCTGCGGTATGAACGATTATGAGGCCGCAATAGCCGTACTCCACGCGCAAGCTCGTTGCCACCTCAACGCTGGTGGCCCCGCCTATTCACAGGTAAGCGCGATGGATTGAGACGTATAAATCTCGCTCTCTCGATGCCCCTGGCCCCACCCGCGAGGTTATGGTCCAGGAGAAGCACATCGGCCGCCAACACCCGTTCCGCCAAGTCAGCGAGCGTCGTCGAGGTGGTGTGGTGCAAGGACTCGCACCGTGTGCACGCCTCCCACGTCAGGCGAGCGTAAATGGCTCAGGCTGGGTCGAGGCGGATCCGCCTTGGGGTGAGGTGGCTTGGGTGAGGTGGAGGAGCGTGCGCACCTCCATGCTCGAAATCGACTGGCACGCCACGTCAAGAACGAAATCGTCGTCGTCGACCACCAGAGCAGTGAATTCCGACACCACCGCCGGCAGTGCCGCGCCGGGCGAGGCTGGCAGCGAGAAGGAGGTCCAAGTCCACCCGCCTGCCTCGCCCGCGATCTCCAGCGCTCCGCCGAGGTGTGTGCACGCGCGCAGTGCACCCACGAGGCCGCGTCCCGAGCTCCGCGACGCCATGGAGAAGTCCTGCTGGCCGCTAAAGACCGCGTCGACCTGTACTCAGCTAGCGGCGTGAAAACAGCTTCTCCTCACACTAATGCACGTAAGAGTGGCCTGACCAGCTCGGGCGTGACCGGGGTGGTGCCTTGCCGGTTGCGGCTGCGCATTTGCGTTGTGAGCTTGCCCTCGCAAAGGTGCCAACTGTCACGGGCGCACGACAGGGTATCGTGTGAAGAGGTCTGGATGAGGTCGCCGGGCTCCCCACATCAGCCCACGCACCGGATCGTGCTCTCGGTACCATACTTTTGCGCGTTGTCGATCACATTCGTGGCCGCGTCCACCTCCCTCCGGAAAGGGCGAGGTAAGGAGCAGTGTGTGGGAAATAGCTGGGCACTCCTGTGTGCGCGTGCGTCCATGTCCATGTGTGTGTGTGTGTGCGCGCGCGCGTCCGTGTGTGTGTGTGTGTGTGTGTGTGTGTGTGTGTGTGTGTGTGTGTGTGTGTGTGTGTGTGTGTGTGTGTGTGTGTGTGTGTGTGTGTGTGTGTGTGTGTGTGTGTGTGTGTGACGCCGCGCGTGCGTTGCGATTGTGCGTGCGTTGCACCTCAGGTGGCGTCGACTCTAGGTGCCGGTGCACCCTCATGCCCGCGCTCTTTGCGTAATGGTTCGCGTCGGCGTATGCGGTCTGCATCGCGGTGAAGACTCTGAGTTGAGCCGCCTGCTGAGCATGCTGGAAGCTCAAGCGCACCAAGTATTCGGTCATGTGTCCGATGATTGTGCCGTAGAAGGTGGCGAGCGCCACGTGGGCCTTCAGCTGCGGCGCGACGTGCAGCGCGCCGAATGAAGCCAAGGCGAGGACAGAGAGGCTTTTGCGCTTGTCCAAAAAGTTGAGGTGCAAGCTGAAGACGGCAACCGCTGCACAAATCTCATTTTGGGCAAAGAGGTGGAGGCGACCCGTGCTTAGGTGGATAACCGTCGAGACCGCGGGGAGTAAACTACGCCCGTAGTTTACTCCCCGCGGTCTCCCGCCGGCCGCCGCAGCACCGCCGGCCGAAAGGATGCCCAGGCTCAGCGCCATGCAGAAGATGGCATAGAGCGGGTCATCCGCGGCGATGCTTAGCGGAATAAGGACGATGGAGGCGACGTTGAGATGATCGGCGTATGCCTGACGCTCAAGAGGCGAAGTCACGAGCGCAGGCGCGAGCGTCGCTTTGTCTACCCCGCCCGCGATTTGGACCTGCTCGAAAAAGTCGCGGAACTCCGCCTCGGCGTTACCGTCCTCGAACCCGAGCTGGACATAGCTGCAGATCAGCGACAAGCACTTCCTCATGAAGTAGGGTATCGACATGCGTATTGGTGCAACCAGCCTAGAGCGCGATCTTTCACACTGGAGAGAGAGACGTACACACTGGTGAGCGCGCCGCGTATACACGGCCCGCGCGAGACCGCCGCGCGCCGCTCGCGGTGCCCACACCATCGGGACCGGTCCGGAGCACCCAGCGACCGGTGTCGAATCGCCAGATTCGACCGCGCTGGCCTCCTGGAGCAACGCGCTGTCGCTCGCAATGACGCGATACGCGCGCTTTTTTAGCTCCATTTTACACCGATCGTTCGCGCCCAGACCACTCCCATCCATCGAGGGCACATGAGTAGGGGGAATCTGGAGAATCTGGGAATCGGCTCACCACGGATCCCCACCTCATCGAAAAACTTTTCACTCCAAGACAAAGTAGTTTGGCTTCGGCAACACCCTCGACCAAACCTTGCTCAAGGTTCTTGGGTGCAAAGAGCGCGGCCACAAGTCACAGGGCCCGCTCGTCCATGCGACCGGCAAAGGCTGGGTCAAAGAGCACAAGGGACAGTACTACGACGCGCTCCATGTCAAGAACGGAATCGTCAAAATTTGTCTCGTCGAAAGCCAGGGCGGCATCGCGCCGCCAACCAAGAGAATCATCCACAACTTCGCCAAAGAGGTCGGCAGCCCGAGCGCCGTCGACCGCACCGACTACGGCACAGCCTCCGGCAGCGCCCGGGGCTTCGCCCAACACCACTCGCAACAGCTCTCGCGCGCCGCCGTCAGTGGCGATGCGCAAAACATCAACAACGCTGTTCGCAACATGCGTGTCGCGCACTCATTCATGACCGGTCTCAATGCCCCACCCCCCTGCGCGCGGGCCTTCTAAGCCCGCGGGTAGTCCCCCCCCATCCCCGGGGCCTCCAGGGCTCGCACCTCAACCTCTCACAGGCCAGCGCACAGCGCCATAGGACGTATTTTCTTCTCAATAACAAGGCTGTGAACAAGTCGCCACCGACACAGGACTCTGTGGTAGGATGGTGTAGATCCCTGTTAGGATGGTCCTCCACTCGCTGTCTCGCGTCGCCCCAGGGCTGCTCGCGCTGCGGCCGAAGCTGACCGCCGATTCGCTGAAGCCCGGCAGGCTCCTGCGCGTGGGCAGCGCCGCCGGCCACGACGTGCATGCCGCGGTGCTGTGCTGGTGCGGCGGCGTGGCGTTCGCCGCGCCTATTGCCGGCTGGCCGCACGCGCCCGCCGTCATTTGCGGCGCGGTTCCAGCTGAGGCGGCCGAGAGCGCCGTGCTCCTTGACGACAGCCTGGGTGCCTCGCCGGACGCTGTGGACGCGGCGGCCGAGGAGGGAGGCGTGTCGGTCATCGACTGCTTTGGCGCGCCGCTCGACAGCCCGCCGACCTCGCTGCGCGACGGGTCGAGGAGGCGCCTGCCTCTGATGGCGGTCTGCCCGGGGCAGGCGGACCTCCAGCCCATCTGCGCCAGCCTCCACACAGGCACAGGCGCCACCTGCCTTTTCGCCCTCGGGCGTGTCAGCAGCAGCCCTTGCACGCGCACCGCCACCACCGCCGGTCTGGCGCCGACACCGCCGCCGCCATCGGCCGCAGGCACCGCCGCCATCGACGTCCTCACCCCCGTGGGGCGAGGCCAGGTGTGGCGCGCACTCTCTGTCCGCCTCCTCCGCACCTTTTCGCCCGCACCGCCGTTTGCGCCGCCCCGCCCACCCCGCCACCGCCTGCCGCGCCCCCCGGTCCAATCAGCTATCAATTATGGCTCATTGCTCATGCATCCGCGCCCCCCAGTCCATGCTGCTGATGGGCGAGCGGGGCACCGGCAAGTCCGCCGTTGCCATCGACGCGGTGATTGCGCAGGCGGCGCGAGACACACACACACACACACTCACTCCCACATCGCTCGCCCACGCGCACTGGGCCTTGCACTTTGAATGCCGTGGGGCTCCCGTCGTCTAGACGTCGAGTCGCGAGGGCCAGCCTGGCCCTCGCCCCACCACCTTGTGTGTGCGTGGAGAAGTGTACCTGACCTCACCTCAGGCGGCGCGGCCGCTGCACTGCGTGGTTGCTCTTTCCGACCCGGGCGCCGAGGCAGCCTCGGACCTTGCCCCCCCCCCCCCCTCGGTTGACGGCGTTGACGGCACGACGGCTGTGCTCAGGCTGCCCGCAGCCTCGCGGAATGGATCTGCGAGCGCGCGGATCGGCAGGTGTCGCTCTCGGCTTGCGGAGGCGCCTTTCCTCCTCCCACGATCCTGGCAGAAGACGCGCCTGTCAGCACACGGGTCCACCCGCTGCCTCCCGCTCGCCACAACTCAAAAGAAATCGGACTCTCACTCCTCTCCCACCTCGTGCGCGGCGTGGAGACTCCCCGCCCTCCCTCTTCCTCCCGGTCTCCCTCCTCTTTCTCTTGGTCCTCCTCCGCCCGGGGGCTTCCGCGGTTCCGTTCCTTTCCACGGTTTGGGGGGCATCCCCCCCCCCCCCCCCCCTCTTCCCCGGACAGCTCCACCACGCCCGCCCATGCCTTGCGCCCCTGCCTCCTCCCCCCTGCTTCTCAGGCCCCCTCCCGCCTCCGCTCCGGTCGCGCCTCACCCTGGTCGCCCCCAGAGGCGGCAGCGCGTCGGAGAGAGCCCTCTTCCTGGACCTTTCCTGGACCCTTCCTGGACCCCTTCCTGGACCCTTCCTGTAGGCGGCAGCGCGTCGGAGGGAGCGCTCGTCGCGGCGGCGGCTTGCGCGGTGGGCGAGAGGGTGCGCGACGGCGGCGGCCACGCCCTTGTGGTGGTCGACGGTTGGCGCGGCCTAAGCGCGGTGTGGGACCAGGCGGCGGCGGCCCTCACCTCCCCCCCCACGAGCGCACCGGGAGAGGGGGGCGGAGGAGAGGGAGGCGGGGGAGCAGGAGACGGCGGCCGCGGCGGCGGTGCCGGCGCGGCGCATACGGCGGTCGCCGCGGCGGTGCGTCGGCGGCTCGAGGCTGCGCAGCGGGAGACCTCGGCGGAGCAGCGCGTCTTCTACGGCGCGCTGCTGCAGCGCGCGGCGCAGCTCGCCCCCTCGCTCGGCGGCGGCTCCCTCTCCCTCATCGCCGTCGCGGAGCAGCTGCCCCGGCCTTGCGGCGAGGCGCACGCGGCGCCGTTGGCGGCGGGTGGCGACGGCGGTGGCGAGGGCCAAGGCGGCGGCGGCGGCGGCGGCGGCGGCGGCGGCGGCGGCGGCGGCGGCGGCGGCGGCGGCGGCGAGGATGTGGCTTTCCCGCTCGATCGGTTCTCGGACCGGCCCCGCTCGCAGCGCTTGCGGCTCGAGGCGCTCGCTGCGCGGGGCGTGCCGCTGACTGCCGCAACGCTCCGCGTCATCGGGATCCCGCCTCCTGCCTCCCCTTTTGGCGCTCCTGTCACGCGGCTGCCGGGCGGTGGGGGCGAGGGCGAGGGCGAGGGCGAGGGCGAGGGTGAGGGCGAGGGCGAGGGTGCGGGCCAGGGCGCGGCCGCAGCGAGCAGCGCGGCGTTGTTCGCCGCGCGAGCCAGTTGGTCCCACATTGACCAGCTGCAGTCGCTCGCAGACGGCGCCGCGCCCTAGAAGCGGAAGATCTCCCCAGATCTCCCCGTATCTCCCCGTATCTCGTGCCCTAGAAGCGGAAGGGGGAGCCGTGGAGTCCGACGGGCGCTCGAGAGGACGCGTATTCGGCTGCACTCGACCGCTGTATTCGTCGCCCCTGTAGCCACGCGGTGCTCTGAGTACGCCGCACGAGACCACCCTCCCGCCCCCGCCTCGGCGTGTTCGCAGCATAGGCCACGATGCGCTGCTACCGCACCACCCACGGGACTGAACCCGCACTGGATTCGACCACTCTGGAGGTATGGTAGGCCACGTTCAGCTGCTTGCCTCCGAGTGGGCCCGCGGGGTGCGGCCGGCGCTGCGGCCAGCCGAGTCGATCGCGCGCGTCGGCGTTGGGTCGGACACGGCGAAGCGTCCACGGCCAGCATCGGCGGCGATGTTGCGGCTATCGGTGGGGCACGCCTCTGGCGACAGCGTGTGTGGGCCGTTTTCTGCCACGTTTTCTTCTTCTTGTCGGCAGGCGGGGTTGCGGCTCGAGCTGGCGCAGGCGGAGGATTTGCCGGCCGCTCTCGGCGACGCGCACACGCGGCTGCAACAGACGCGCGCACGCGCACTGGCGGCGGTGCTCGGCACGCACCGGGAGGGGGTGCCGCTGGCTCTGTCGCAGCAGGTGGCTGCCTCGACCCTTGCCCCAGCACCTTATGTGTGTGGAGAAGCTCACTTGACCCTACCCTAGCAGGTGGCGCTGCTCCTCGCGATCCTCGACGGGCGCGCCGCCGTCGCCCTCCGCACTCGCGTCACGAGCCCATCGACCTCGCCGGCCCTGCCTCGCCCTACAGACGCTTCGGCCACAAATGAATGAATGAATGAATCAGTCCATTTTGCCGCGCCCCAGGCGCCTCGACCACCTTGCCACCGCCGCGCCCGCCACCGCTGCCGAGGAGGTGGCGGGTTTGCTCGATAAGCTGCGCGCCTCGCCCACCGCCGCCGCCGCATTGCGCGCCGTCGACGAGAGCGAGGAGCTGGCGCCGCCGGAAGAGTCGGCTCTGCTCGCCGCCATCGCCGAGCACATGCCGCGTGCGGGCGGGCGTGGTTTGTTTGCCTCGTGGCAGACGACTGCGACTGCGACTCGGAGTTGATCCGCATGCATTTTATATTTTATTGCACGTTGCTCGTTGGCCCTCGGGTTCGACGTGTTTCGTGTTCCGGCGCGCGATACAAGGCCCAAGCAGCCATCAAGAGAGAGAGTTTAGGCTTTAGCCTCCAGCTGCGCGGCATTTGAGTGGCGCAGTGGCTTCTGGTGCAATCTCATGGGTACGACGGCGTCAACGCCTCGGGTATGACTTGCTTGTTGCTACTTCAAGATCGCACCACCTGGCATGTTGTGCGAGTAGAGCTCTATATGGGACAAAAGCGTCGAAAATGTCCCAAAAAGCGTGTCTCGAGTTTGTTGCAGCCCCACAGCTGGCGCGCGCTGCCAGGAAGCACCGCTCGCGTGTCGGCGGCACTCCCTGGCACCCAGGGAGTGCCGCGAACCGACCAGACCGAATGGGCTCGACGCCGCGCTCGCTGTGGGGCTGCAACAAAGTCGCCGCCGAGCGTGCCACCGACGGCGTCCCGGCGGAGGTGATGGAGTGTGAGACCTGAGGCTGCGGAGGAGACGCCTGAGGTACCGGCCCGTGCACAGCGACTCAGCCGGCGACCGCCACGGGCTCAGACGAGACTTGTCGACTCGTTACGGCTCAGCTTCACCGTGGTCATTGGGCGTCTGTCGACGTCAGGACCACTCATACAGCTCGCGGGTTTGAGGTCGCAAGAGCCAAGATGGTGGCGTTTGGACATCCCAGCCATCACACAAGACAGCCTGTAGGTGATGGCGGGACGGCGCAGTGTTTGTGGCACTCGGCAGTAGGCACCCGCGGCACGGCCCCGCTGTCGGCTCTCACGGGCTGCGGAACCGGCCCCAGAGGGAGCCGGTCCGGGCGAGTGTGGCAGCTCCTGCGCTAGTATGGGCACCCTCTATCATAGCACTACTGATCCTGGTCATTAGAGCTGCCAGGGATAGCGTCAGGAGCCGGTAGGAGTCAAAACCTCTCATATTTGAGACATCGTGTCCCATATACTCGCACAACGAGCCACCTTTAGTTCAGTTCCTCTCCGCCGCCGCCCCACATGCGCCATATGGGGGCGCTCACAGACCGAGGTACGAGATGGACTCCACATTCTTTTAATGCCCTCCCTGCGCTAGCCTCGACTGCAGCCGCGGAACGACACCAGGTCGTAGCTAAGAGAGCCCGCGCCGATGAGGAGACCGGCTGGGAGCTGCTTGGGATGTCCGTTTTCTATAGGAAGTGGTAGACGCCCGAGGGTGGGCGACGGCTAACACCACACTTCTCCCCTAAAATCCCCTAAAATCCCTAACTCGCGGGGCCGGGCTGTGTGCTAGCGCATGGAGATAGATACATCGATGTGCATGTGCATGTGCATGTGCATGCAGATGCACATACATCCACATGCACATCACATGCAGATTAGGAAGCAGGTTCACACAACAGACAAGGCGGCTCCGGGGGGCCCGGGCGCGCTGGCCAAGCGTCACACTCATTCCTTCTCGCCCTAACCGCCTCGAGCAAGCTCGAGCACCTTCGAGATCGTTTGGATCCGGCGCCGAGGGGCGGGTAGTCTCCCTTCCAGGGCTCGCACCTCAGCCTCTCATAGACCAGGGCGGAAGTATTTTATGTATGTAAAAGAGGGATCGGCTCGATTGGACGGAGGCTGGACGCGTCCGCTGGGCACATGCTGACTGAGCCGCCAGGCAAAGCTTGTGCTGTGAATAGCAGGCGTGGTCTCTACTCGACGCTACTCGCCAGCACTGGCACTAACACAGGTACACCAAAAAAGAATTTTGGGTGGGGGAACAACGAAGGGGGAACAACCCACACCACACAAGACGCCAAAGCACAAAAGAATAACAAGATACACCGACAGGTTTTCACACCACATACTGGTTGCCCCTTCCTATGTCTCACTGCTTTGTCTCCATCGAGGCCCGATCGACATCCTCACCGCCCGAGCTCTTCGAGCTGGCCTGGCGGCAGTGGGGCGCCTCTGCGCGAGCGTTCCAATCGAGCCCGTACGAGAACCGCGAGGAGATCCGCGCCGCGGCCAAGGTCTTCGAGAGCCTCAGCGCGGCTCCGGCACTGCTGAGCGACAAGGCGGTGTCGCGACTGGCGCTCGCTCGCTCCACCATCGAAGCGATGCTGCCGCTGTGCGAGGAGCCCGCCGCAGCCTCCGTCGCAGAGGAGCCACTCTGCAACGCCGTGCAGTCGCTCTTCCGCACCGCGAGCGGCGAGGGCATCGGCGTCGGGCCGCCCTCTGCGCAACGCACGGCGGAGCGGGCGCCGGGCGGAGGACGGCGCAGCAAGAACTCGCCCGGAGGCCGCTGCTTGTGCCTCAGCAGCGGCTTTGGCGAGTTCAAGAGCCAGCAGTGCACCTACCTGCCGCTCCGCACGCGCAACGGCACCAGCCACGCCTGCCGCATGGACCGGCTGAGGGAGGGCGAGTCGCTGCTGGGGACGCTGGAGCAGTTCTGCCGCGCGTACTACCACGCAAACCAGTGGGAGGCGCAGGTGTACCTCTGCCTCAAGTGCGGCCCGGACGCGACTGGCTCGCGGCTCGTCCTGCCCGAGGGCGTGGAGGTCGGCGGCATGAGCGGCGGCGCCGAGGGCAACGGCGCCGAAAGCGGCGGCGAGGGCGGCGGCGAGGGCGGCGGCGAGGGCGGCAGCGGCGAGGGCGGCGGCGGTGAGGGCGGCATCGCGACGGCCCCCGACGGCGACATCTGCGGCAAGGTGCAGGTGGTGGCGGTGGTGCGGCTGCTCGGCCACGACGGCAGCGAGTGGATCTGCCGATATGCAAACTGCTTCCGCGGCTCGCCTCGCTAGATGCCGATCCCTCGACACCCGACCTCATAGCCGACCTCACAGCCCCGTGCTCAGCTGTCTGGAGGCGCTTGAGTCTCACTGGGTTCGCCGCGCAGGGTCGTCCGAGGCCAACGTGCACGCCGAGAGCTTCGTCATCGCAGACGAGACCATCCTGTCGGCGGTGCGCGCGGGCGAGGTTGCCGAGCTGACGCTCTACCTCTCGTATCAGCCCTGCCACCACTCCGGCGGCCGCTTCGGTGGAGGCGAGGCGCGCCAGCGGCGGCGCGCGCACCGGCAGCACCCCACCTCGTGCACCGAGGCGCCGATCGCCACGACGAGGGAGGTTCCCTCCTCGCCTCCCCCGAGCCGCCTCGGAGACTTCTCTAGGCGCTGATCGCCTACCACGAGCGCGAGCTCGCGCCGTACAACGTGCCGCTCTCGGTTGTGGTCGCCGACTTGTACAAGGTCATGTGGACCGAGGAGCTGATGGGCGCGCGCCGCCGGCCCGTAGCTTCCTGCCCAGCCAGAGGGCGCGCCTCCCTCACCGCGCGTGGGTCGAGGCGCCGTAGGCGAGGGGCAGGTGCGAGACGTGTACGCGGCCGACGCGAGCGCGGGCCGGGAGGGGATCCGGCGGCTGATGTCGCAGCCGGGGATGTCGATGCGTGCCACGGGCGAGGAGGACTGGGCCTTCCTGATCGGCCTGTGCGACCAGTCGGTGCAGGAGGAGTACGAGCGACGCGGCGAGGCTGGCTCGGCCTTCGGCCCCACCCACGTCGCCCTGCGGTGCGGGGCACCGCCTCCTCCGCCCGCGCCGCCCGCGCCCTCCCCACCCCCTCGCTCGTCTCGCAGGGCGAAGCTCGACGCGGTCATTGCTGACTTCCTTGCGGCGCAGCATGCTGAGATGGCCGCGGCGGCGGAGGCGGCGGAGGCGGCGGAGGAGGCCGAGGAGGCCGAGGCGGTGGAGGCGGCCGAGGCGGCGGAAACGGCGCCCGCGCCGGCGGGGCCCGCCACCGAGGGTTCGGCGGAGGCGGCGGCCGCCCAGCGCCTCCCGGACAACAAGAAGAAGGTGTACGGTCGCGACTTTCTCCTCTCCTGCGCGCCGCAGCCCGCCGCGGCGCCCTCGGAGGAGGAGTGCGCCCCTCCGGCGGCCGTCGACGAGACCACCAACTTGCCGCTTTCGCCCGAGGTGTCCCGTGACGAGACGACGAACTTGGAGGCCGACGCTGCCGCGCTGAACGGGGCGAGCGGTCCGGACGGGACCGTGTCCCCCGAGCCCGCGCCGCGTGACAGCGCCGAACAACTCGCCGACGCGCGGCTCGACTCGCCTCCTCCGCCGCTGCCTCCGCCTGTATAGCCTCGAGCTCCTCCAGGCTCAGACGTGCCGCCGCTGCCTCCGCCGCTGCCGCCGCCGCTGCCTCCGCCGCTCCCGCCGCCGCCGCCGCCGTCGTCGCTGAAAGAGGAGCCGGCGGACCTCGACGATGCGGGAGCGCCAGCTGAAGCGGAGCCTCACGCTGGAGAGGAGCCTACGGCACGTCTGAGCCTGGCGGAGCTCGAGGCTATCCAGGGCGAGGCCTTGGCGGACGATATCACAATCGAGAGCAAGATGTGCGCTTGGACGGCGGAGCAGGCGATGCGCTACTTCGAGTCGGGAGGCACCGAGGAGCCTTAGTGAGGTGCCGCCGGCGAGCGGGGGAAGGCGGAGGACTCCGCATCCTCAGAGACCACACCACACCACCGTGCCTTCAACCACATGGTCGCACGCCCCCGCGCCCCGAACGAGGGGGGTGCTGGCCTGCTCTCAGCCACCATGCCGCACGCGCGTCGAGCAGCAGCTCTGGAAAACAACGATTTCAACGTCAGACCAGG